GGTGGCTGTGATGATGGGCTCAAGTATAGCAGGGTCATGGAGCTGGCACGGGATCAGGCAGTGTTTCGTTCTGCTGTGCATTGGGATTGCTATGGGTCGGAGATGACTCGACGGCACCTAACAACAACAACATGCTATACAACATCCTTGGGTATATTTGCAGCACATACTAATATATATGTAAAATATCCTCTGCCAAACTTAAAATACTCTCATTTGCCATCCCACATCTGTTCAGCTTTCACATCTACCTATGTGTTTATTTGTAGGTGTTTTTGTTATTATTATTATTGCAGGATTGTGTAAGCAGTAGTATTTCCCTTTGTTGTCTTTTACTTTTGTGCATCTCCCAGTGATTTTCTTTGCCATTGGTTATTATTGCCCCCCCATTGAATATTGCCTTTCCCTTCATCCAAGTTAATATGTGTTAGACACGAATGTTTGCAATATATTCTTTGCTTAAGAAAACTCTACACAGATTGTCCAACCAAACACATGAATTTAAATTGTCCAGGTTTACAAAGCATACTGTGTATCAAAGATGGAAACACTCCCAACACATTCTTTAAATGAATGTACAAAATAGAGTTTCTCCCATTTAATTATATGAAGTCAAAACAGACCACAAACTTTAAAAAGGGCAATCATTTCTCAATCTCTGACACTTGGTGTAGTACATGGAATATTGAATGTAACTGGTAACTGTTAGTTGAATAAAACAATGAATGAGTGAATTAGACCAAGTTTTTTATACCATTTGCAGTGAGCTCAGAATTAAACTCATCGACAAATGTATCTGAAGTAAAGCTATTCCATTTAGCCAGGTAAGAGCCAAGCCACAGTCCTTCGCAACCATCCAAACTAGGGAAGGATGGAAAGTCTTTAATGACAATGGAGGAGCTTCACACACATACTCACACAGAATGGGTCAAGGGAGGGGTTGTGGACCAAGACATAGTTTTGTTTTGTTTTTGGTTGCTCTGGCATATGGAAGATGCCCAAGTAAAAACCAAAAAACCCACTGCCATCAGGTAAATTCCAATTTATAGCAACCCTATAGGACAGGGTAGAACTGCCCTATATGGTTTCCAAGCCTATAAATCTTTACAGAAGTGGACTACCTCGTCTTTCTCCAATGCAGTGGTTGGTGCAGCCTTTTGGTTAGCAGCCAAAAGATTTCACCTCTATACCATCAGAGCTCCTAGAATGCCCAGGTAGTATATTTTTAATTGCCAGGAAACCATGGGTTTTGTAATCCAGTTACATTCCAAAAGAAAATTTGGGGACCCACATACAGCTGCTAAGTTTTTGCTTGTCTAATAGGTCATTTAAAAAAAAAAACAAAAGGTCTTCTACTGTTACCATAATTTCATTAAAATAATTTTAAAAATCCTCAAATTCAAATTAAAGGCTAATCCTTTGAAGAAGACATATTTAGCTATCGGAAAAATCTAGCATATTGCCTTTATTTATATCGTTTTGCTATGACCCAGTGAAATGTTTTTGAGGAATCTACAGTGACAGTTGGGAATGCCTTTTTTAACAACTCTTTAGAGCAGAGTGGACAATTCAGAAGAGGACTCAGTCATGTGGTGTGGGGGAGGGAGATTTTGTAAGAGAAGGAGGTCTGAGTTCTGAAGAACCAGCAATTGAATAATCCTGTTTTGCAATCTGTCATCTTCAAGAAATTTTCCCCAACAAAATGCACAAAAGCAAATCAATTTTATAAAATATCCCCATATCCCAAAGTTTGTTATTTGAACTAAGCACTGCATTTTCAGTTTGCAAATTTAAGTTTTGCCTGTGAACCGTGTGCTCATTTGGAAATGATATTTTGCCATCCTGAACAGCAATTGTTTCTCTTCTAAGTAAGCAATTCCTTTCTCAGAAGGAGTGTTCACCTCTCAGAGGAGAGAAGGGAGGCAAGAGCAGTGAGTGATGGAGCTTTTGTCCTGTACTATTTTTTTTTGTCAAGTTGGCTCTGATTCCTGGAGACCTTATGCATTAAAAAAAAAAAAAAAGAAAAAGAAAGAACGTAGCCCAGTCCTGTGCCACCTTTATGATTGTAGGTATGCTTGAGTTCATTGTTGTGGCTATTGTATCAATTCTTTATTATGATGAATTGCTTTATCGCATTTCACATTTTAAATTCAAACTTCTTTCAAATATTTCAGTGCTCATTATATTAAAGCTTTATTCCTAAATACCATTATATGACCCTTTAATTCGGCCAGATACATCATCCTATGTACACTGCTTCTGCTTTCTGATCTCTTTCCTGAAACTTATCAGTTATGTCCCATGAATATTCTTGTTTCCATTTTTTTTTTTTTTCTTTTCAGTTTTCTTTTTAGTTGTGCTTTGGGTGCAAATTTACAAAGCAAACTTGTTTTACATTCAACATTTATGCACATTTGTTTTGTACTTTGGACACAAAAACTCTGGCTCAGTTTGTTAGTCAATAGATGGAAGTCCCTGATGTGAGCCTTGAAACTGAGGCTTATCCCAAGAGAAGAAAAAAGAAATTTAAAATAATGAATAAAAGAAAAAGACAGTCCCACTGGCAACATTCTTAATCTCACTAGGTCACTGTGGGCATTGATTTGATGAGACAATATCTAAACCTGTAAAATCTTCTTTTCTTTAATTAAATTAGATTGACACAAATGAACAGCTGAGAAGAATTGCCCAAATGAGGATTGTTGAATATGACTACAAACCTGAATTTGCATCTGCGATGGGAATAAACACTACCCATCAAACAGGTACCCAGATAAATTTTTCTATTGATTTTGTATTGTCAACTATTAAAATTTTTATTCCCATTTTGTTTTGAAGTTGTGTGCTATGGCATTTGACAACACTGCGGTGGTCTGTCTTATCCTTTGTGAAACCCATAATCACTGGAATAGGAAAAGTTAAAGAATTTCTGTGTCATCTTCCCTCAAACCTCCCCCCCTTGCCTCGCGCCAAGGTATCTCTGGAGTGTTTTGGATATGTAGTTTCTCTCCTGGAGAGTCCTTTTGTTCTTTGAAGGAGTGTTCTTGAGCAGATGGAACCTAGAGCTGTTTGAGGAGCAGCATGCTCCTGGCACGGAAAGAGAAAGGACAAGCCTTCCTGGCTCTAGGTCAGAGGGGCAGGAGGTAACGTCCAGGAGTTTTTGAGCAAGATGGAGCGTGGAGGAGTACAGATCTCCTACAGAAAAAGAAAGGAGCCAAGATAATGCCCCACCCTTACTTCTATGTTGTTGTCGTCAGTTGCCTTCAAGTGGGTTCTGACTCATGATGACCCATGTGCGCAGAGTAGAACTGTTTCATATGGTTTTCAAGACTGTACTTTTGAAGCAGATCAATGGAACTATCTCCCAAGATGCTTCTGGGTGCGTTTGAAGCTCCAACCTTTTGTCTAATAGTAGAGTACTTAAACTTTTGCACCACCCAGGGACCTATGTGCAGGAATTTTAATGTATTTACTTGCCCCTTGGCTCAGAGTCTATGAGAAAAGAGGAGAAAAAGATAGCTCATTTTAATCCTATACTTGTTTCTGGCTCAAAATTCCTTCTTTACCTTAAATGCATTGTAGATCAAAGTAAAAGCTTAGGAGGATAAGCATCTATTTCCAAAGATGTCCTGAGTGGCTGGCAGTATTCTAATCTGAGATAGATCTTAGAGGATTTTCTTCCAAAAGATATTTTCCTGATTGAAGCTGTTGGAGTATTTTTTATGTAGGAATGATTGCCCAGGAGGTGCAAGAGATCCTGCCCAGAGCTGTGAGAGAGGTTGGTGATGTCACCTGTGAAAACGGACAAAAGTTGGAGAACTTCCTCATGGTCGATAAGGTAATTACTGAATAAATAAATATCTACTGCTTTAGCTATAACCTGACGAATAACCCTGGGCTTAAACATCTGACTTAGAAACAGAACATTAGAAAGAATTCTTCACTGAGCTAGGGAGTAGGTTGAAATCAGTTATGCCACACTGGTCATAAAAAGAAATCAAATAAGAAAAAGGAATATGCAAAAATAAAAATCAGAGTTCAGCAAATCTTCATTGTTGGAAGGCAGCTGGCCCTGGGAAATCCCACTTAAGGTGAATGCTTTTAAAACAGGGACTAAAAAAAGTTCATAATAAATAGTGACAAAAAGTTTTGACTAGATTTTTATTTAAAAAATGCAAATAATGAATCAAAACTTATGAAAAGTAATTTTATCATGTGTAATCAATTTAAGTTGTAATGTAAAAAATGTGCTGCCACTTCAAATAATTAAGAATTAAATGAATTGTTGATATATATAGATATATCTATGTATATATTGAGACAAAATTGTATGTTTGACTTTCACAGCATAAGTATAAAGTGGGTCATTTTTTTCAGAGATATTCATGAGCCTCATCATTTTCCCCAAGGGCTTTTCTAAATTCTTTGATATTCAAATCCTTCTCTTTTGAAGGAATGTCATCCTCCTTTTAGATTTGCTTCTCTTCACTTGTTAATGTATCTAACTTGCCAGCTCCTTGCTTGCTGAGGCTTTGTGTGTGTGACTTGAGTAGTTCTCTGATATTACTTCTACTGATTATGTGAAATCCTGCATCTTTTACAATATTTGCAAATTCTCCCTGCTGCCAAGTTGCCTCATGTTGCATTATAATATTTGATGCAGGGAGGAGAGACAAACTGACATAGGTATTTTGTGATAAGAGATGTTTGAGTGGAGACTGTAATTAGTCAGTTCACGAAGGCAGTGCTTCTTAAACTTTAAAGTCCACACAAATCACTGAGGGTCTTGTTAAAATGCAGATTCTGATTTGGTAAGAATGTGGTGAGACTCAAGCTTTTGCATTTCTAACCAGCCTGCAGATGAGGCCAATCTTGCCAGTCCTGTTGGTCAGCAAGTCACACATGAAGGAACAAGGCAAAGGGGGCATTTTCATGCCCCTCCACAGTCTTAATTACAAAACCTTGGACAACAGATACTTAGATCACAGTCTGGAAGGCCTGCTCAGCCCTGCGCTGGAAGAGACCAGAGGCTAAAAGTTGGGCATTGCCATTTGCTTTTCAGGAACACATCTTTGTTATGCAAAAAAACCCACACTCAGTGCCTTGGAGTTGATTCTGACTCATAGCGACCCCTCCTTGGATTTCCAAGGCAGCTTTATCTCTATGGAGGTAGATTGCCCAGTCTTCCTTCTGAGGAGTGGCTGGTAGGTTTGAACCGCCAGCCTTCTGGTTAGCAGTCATATGCCTGACACTACAGGAAAGTTGGGAGCTCTGGTAGCATAGTGCCTAAGGCACTTGCCTGCTAACCAGAAGGCTGGCGGTTCAAACCCACCAGCCACTCCTTGGAAGGAAGGTTGGGCAATCCTACTTCTGTAGTGATACTGCCTCGGAAACCCAAGGAGGGGTCGCTATGAGTCAGGGCCGACTCGACGGCATATAACAACAACAGGAAAGTTTTTAGTTTCTGTCCTCCAAAAACCAGACCAAACTCACTGCCATCGAGTTGATTCTGATTCATAGCAACCCCCATTGGGTTTCCAAGGCTGTTAATCTTTACAGAAGTAGATTGCCTTCCCTCCCATGGAGTGGCTAGTGGCTTTGAACCACTGACCTTTTTTGGTTAGCAGCCAAATACCTTACCCATTACACCACCGGGCTCCTTAGTTTCTCTCGTGTTGTTATGTGTTATTGAGTCATCTCTGACTCATAGCAACCTTATGTACAATAGAACGAAACACTGCCCAGTCCTGTGCCAGCTTCACAATCCCTACTATTCCTGAGCCCATCACTACAGGCACCGTGTCAATCCATTTTGTTGAGGGCCTTCCCCTATTTTGTTGACCTTCCACTTTACCAAGTATGACATCCTTCTCCAGAGAATAGTCCCTTCTGACAACATGACCAAAGTAGGTGAGATGAAGTCTGGCCATTCTCGCTTCCAAAGGAGCATTGTGGCTGCACTTCTCCCAGGACAGATTTGTTAGTTCTTTCAGCAGTCCACAGTACTTTCAGCATTCTTTGCCAACACCACAATTCAAAAGCATCAACTAGTTTTTCTCTCTTAGACCTAAGCTATTACTTCACTTGAGAGTTATGTCCTAAGAGATTTATTTTTTAATAACAAATTACCGATGTTTTCTAATAATTTACTTAATTTAAATAAAATAGGGCATACTCAGAGTTATTCATATAATAAAGTAACCCTCACTCATTTGCATTTTTAGAAGTTTTCTGGGGTGAGTGAGGAGCATAGTCTCACCAGACTGCCAAGGTAGGGGCTCTTGGGATCACCCATCTGGTGGCAGGTACTTCTCTTCTGGGTATGACCCTCCCCTAGAACACTCAGGGAGAAGACTTCTGTGTTTGCTGTGCATGTAATATCTACCCAAGATCTTATACCTGTCACCATTCAGCAAAATAATTAGTCTCTCTCTCTCTCTTTTTTTTTTTTTTCGGTATCCCCCAGTAGAGTCCTTGGATGGTGCCAATGGTTAGTGCATTCAGCTGCTAACCAAAAGGTTGGTGGTTCTAGTCCACCCAAAAGTGCCTTGGAAGAAATGCCTGGTGATCTACTTGTGAAAAATCAGCCATGGAAAACCCTGTGGAGCACAGTTCTACTCTAATACACATAGGGTTACCATGAGTTGGAATTGTCTTGATGGCAAGTGGTCAACCCGCCAGTTACATCTTATTGTTGAGTTGAATGAGGATTGTCAGGATTATTAGCAACAGTAGTTTCAAGGCCTTACCCTCTTCTTTTAGGAGGCCACAAGCCAAGCTTATTTCTAGGTAGGTCAGCCCACAGTTTTGGGAAAGTGTTGTTGTTGTTGTTATGTGCTGTCGAGTCGGACCCGACTCATAGTGACCCCTCCTTGGGTTTCCGAGGCATTATCACTACTGAAGTAGATTGCCCCATCTTTCTTCCGAGGAGTGGCTGGTGGGTTTGAACCACCAGCCTCCTGGTTAGCAGTCAAGTGCCTTAGGCACTATGCTACCAGAGCTCCCTTTGGGAAAGTAGGGGGTGAAATTCCTGTTCCAGCCAGCCAGGTTCATGCATCAACTGAGGAGAAAACCACGCCAATACAACATTCAGTTTATAAATAAATAAAACTGACACCAGTCCAGAATGGAAAAGTTGCGATTCTCTTAGTAATAGGACCTTGTAATGATACAATCTACAGAGGTATCACCAAGGCCACACTCATTTACAGAATGCGTAACAGCAAGAGCAGGTGGCCATCTCCCCCCTCTGATGACACAGGAGAAGCCTGTTTTTCTTATTTGGCTTGTTTCTGAGGATAGACTTCAATTGCTGGTTTGATCCGCCACATTGTGGGGTGTACTTCCTTAAATTATAAATACTGCACTGGGCATCTTCTTTAATCTTTCTTACTAAGAACACAGGGAAGGTGGTTGCTATATGCTCTTTGCTAGTTGTAAAATAAACAAAATACACAAAGAGCCTCCTGCTTTCTTGCCTCCCACCTACTCTCCTAGGCAGTGTCATGGTTTTGTGTCCGTGGATGCTGTGTGTTAAGGAAATTTGCTAGGACTCCCTAGGCTTTGCTAGGATGGGTTCTGTCTTCCTTTTTCCTGTCTTCGCCATGAGATTTCCTATTTACTTTAGCAAAAACTGCTTTTAGCTCATAACTCTTTTATGTGTTTTATTCCACTTTCCTTAAGTGCTACCTGAATATTTTTCCAGCTCTTATCCAAAATATACTTGGTAGTTCAGGAAGCAACATGGAATTTTAGGAAGAACATCAAACAATCAAACAAGAGAGTACCTAGCTGGGTGATTTGGTCAGATTACCTAACTTCCCTCTTGGCTTCAACTGCTTCATCCAGCAAAAGGGGTAAGTAACTAGATCATCTCAAATGACAGTTCATTTCTAAATTAATATGACTCTAAGTCAGAGGCCCTTGCCTCTTCTTCAAATGAAGATCAGGCTGACCTTCCAGGACTGCATGTGACTGCTGAAATAACTGTCTTCGTTACTTCTAAGAAATGAGATTGCAAAACAGTATTATAACATCTTATTTATAGAAATTCCTAGGTGAGAACTTCTTACTCTAAGATTCTATGAAAGTGGTGAGTTTGGAAAATAAAGTAATAGAATTGGAAATCTTAAAGGGAACTTAAAGGATATCTAGTTGAGCCCTCTCTTTTCATAGAGGAGGACACTGCAGGTCAGACAAAACCTAAGTCTCTTGATCATCTCATTAGGCAACACGGCTTCTCATCCTTAACACTGGGATCATAGTGCAGTAGAGTAGGGCAAATTATTTTCATTTAAGTGAATTATAGTTAAGTTATATTAATTAAGTTAAATACCAATTTTTTTCCTTTGACCTTTTTCTCTTTCCCCATGACTATCTGAGGGCTCTGACTAGGTTCATGCTTCCTTGGATTTAGAACATGTCATGGTGATATTCTGCCAGTGTGCACGTTAGGTTGATTCCATTTTGTTACCGTCACAATGTGGTAATTAGCTTCAGGCCATTTCTGCTAGAACTTCCTGGATTTTGTATTCTGTCTCTTTTGAAGGGTGTCTTGGAGCTTGTTCTTCAATAGGACAGATTGAAAATTAAATCAGTTTAATAGCAACAAGAGTAGAGTTGGGGCACCATAGGCTGTAGTAGTAACTGGCTGAAGTCAGATTAAGACGCTGTCTCTCTACTCTTTACTCCATTTTCCTGCCATCCACTTGTCCCTTTTTAATAAAGAAATTTTTGTTGAAGGTATAATGCAAAGTAGAAATGCTTATGAAAATGTTTAAACATTGCTCTCCACTATTACTATATCATTTCCACATGTGTTTTGAAACTTTATGCCAA